TCGATGTGGGGCTGGGGATGGGATCGAGGGATCCCACTGTAGCAAAGTGAGGGGACAGGAGTCTCCCTGCCCAGGGGATTTCTGTGATTAAAGATGCTGGTCTTGGACCACCCTATTTCCCACCTAGGAGATCTTTCAGGCAGGAAGGTGCTGAACAAACCCACCAACAGGTTTGGGGCATTTTGGGGTGAAGGCGGGCGAGATGAAGGACAAGAGGGACATAACGCTGTCTAATGTGGTTCTATTTAGATGTCCCAATAGCTGCTAAAAACCTTGTCACCGAGCCCCATGGGACCACAGGGATGAATTTCTGCCCCTAAGCATGGCTGTGACTCCAGCTGGGATGTTGGTCATTCCCTCTCGGGGTACACCCAAGTGAAAGAATGGGCTTGCTCCTGGGTTACTTGCAGAAATTTCAGAAAAAAGGGTTTGATTTATTTTTTTTAATATATATGTACACGTACATATATATATATATGGCAGGGGGTTTGGAACTAGATGACCCTTAAGGTCCCTTCCAACCCAAACCATTCTGTGATTCTATATATACTCACTATTCCATCAGTCTGGGATAAAATCGAACAGATTTCAGCTTTTCCCAGCTCTGCAAGATGCTTTGGGAAGCATCGCGGCACCTCATCCTAGATCCCCGCAGGAGGAGGATGCTGGGGGAGGAAGGCTAATCCCCCCGAGAAGGGTGCGTGGGATGATACGAGGAGCTCTCCCCAGGGGCTGTGAGGCTATTTTGGAGCTGATGCCAAAAAAAATAATAAATCCTCGTCACACTTTTGCTTCAAAGCTCCTCTGTTTTTTACTGAATCCGGGCTGATGCGCCACTTTGGGGGCAGGAGCTGATCACTTTTCCCACTCTTCCATTCGTTCAAGGTCTTTGGGGATAGAAATACCCTTTCAAGGGGTGAACGTGGGGCTGGGGGCTTGAGGTGGAGAGGTGACCTCTGCTCACCCGCAGCACTGAGATGCTGCCTGGGAAGGACATCCCACAGGGATGCATGAGGGCAGGCAGTCCCTGAAGCCAATGCCCAAATCATCCCGGGGGAAGCCAAGAAAGGCCGGAGCCACATTCCAGGATAGCTTCAAGCAGCCAAAATTAGCCCAAAGCCCATTCACCCATAGCTTCTTCCAGCATCACACCCCCCCACCCCAATGATCCCACGGTCCAGAGACTTGTCCTTGCCGTGGCTTTTCTTGGCATCTGGGTGCTTTTGGAGGCAGCTCTGATTTTCAAGCTTCCTTCCATGCGATTGCAAAAAGGCACCGCGGGGCAGAGCCGGCCTGGGAAATAATTGGGCGACCGGCGTATAAAACAAGCAGAGAGGGGGGTGGAAAAAGAAGCAGGAATAACAGTGGTTTTCTTGCTTGCCCGTCGCTGTCTGGCTCGGTCTGTGCGTGGTTCCTATGGCGATGCTGGGATTTAGCATCCCGGGTGCGAAGGTGTGGTGGGATGTGCTCACGTCAGTGCACAGGGACGGTGTGTGATGGATGGGGCGGTGGCTGCAGTGACCTGGGTGCTGTCAGAAGTAGTTATCGGGGGAGAAAGATCTGGTTGCAGGCCAGCCTGGGCTCCTTGCACTGGTTTAGGACCTTCCAGAGAGAGGTCATTCAGCGTGTCAGGAGGGTCAGTGCTGCCTGGCCTCGGTACCACTGGGGAGTCTGAGGCCACCAGTTACCAGATCTTCTGGCAAAACCCTTTTTTTTTTCTTCTGCTATATCCAGTGCCTGTGTTTCCATCGGTATGGAAACAAAGAAGAGGTATGCAAACCTCTTCTAGGAAATCCTCTGGCAGCCTGCATGACCTTAAAACAGGAGCGGAGAGCCTTACTGCAAGGGGTTCAGGGTGTCATCCTTCTCCTTGGGGTCCCCCCTCCACAGTGGAGCTGTGGGATGAGACTTGCTGGGACTCCTCAACCCACCACGGTGTAAAATCACCCAGCATCCCACGAGCCATGTCGGGTTGTGGGCTTTTTTTAGGGGGCTGAAGCTGAGATTGGTCTTATGTTGGG